TTATATTTGAAAATGTATTGACGGAAACCTGGAGGAGCCAGTTTGAATGGGCCTGATGCGGCTGATAATATTAATATATAGAAAATATCTGTAATTTACAGACATTTACAATTTACTATATGCTGAAGTTTGTCAGTAGAGTAGATGCTGGATCATCAGCCAGTTCAAGAACAGCTGATCTACATCCAGCCTCAGCCAGTGCGAGCACAGACCCAGTCCAGGCTTCTTTAGCAGGTCCTGCAGACCCTGGTCGAACAAAGGCAGCCTCAGCCAGAGATCTACAGCCAGCATCAGATTCAAGCAGCTCAGACCCTGATGGAACAGTTGCTGCTCCACCAAATGACCCAGCAGATTGGCCCCCAGTCTGCTGAAGCTGTCGGTTCTTTTAAATTAAGACAGAAGACTTTTCTTTTTACCACTGCCTTTAATTAGTAAATTGATAACTTACACTGCACTGTAACTTTTACTGTCCTGTGTTCTTTTTCTTTGTTTTTAGCTTTTTTTTTTACCATTGCTTTTAATTAAATATTTACATGGTGAGAAATGAGGGGGGTCCAGAGTATAACTGGATCAAAGTGGCCTGCGGACAGACATGTCCTGGTTTCTCTGTAGTGTCCGAGGGTTTTTGGAGTTTCAGTGGACCCAAAGATTGCTATGGACCCGAGTACAGACTAGCTAGAGAGAGTAGATTAAGTGTACTTCTCTGTTTATTCTCTTTAAAAAATAATTGTAACTCAATTATTTGCTCAACCCCTCAGCCTGTTTTTATTTTCCATTTAACTCTTTCAACCCTGGTTGTACACTGCACTGTAACTTTTATTATTTTGTGAATGTGTATATTTTCAATTTCCCTATGTTGCTTTTACACTTTTTTATATTTCCCTGTTGCTTTTATGTTTTATGTAAAGCACTTTGAATTACCTTGTTGTTGAAATGTGCTATACAAATAAACTTGCCTTGCCTTATCAGACTTCATGAGGTCTGAGTTAGTGCGCAGAGGCCCGTTCAAACAGCACTGGATTTTTCTAGAAAAGGTTTCTATTCACAGAGGGAGGATTGTAGTGAGAGCTTTGTGGTGTCAGGTGTGACTGTGCAGCAGCTCTGTTTTTAGTCGCAGCCAGCCTGTGACCGAGTGGTAACGTAGCTGGTTTTGCGATATAAACATCAGAAAACTGAAGCCAACTTTGCTCTGATAGATTGCGTTTTGTAAGACCAATAGATTTTGATGTGTAGTACTTTTACTTTTGATTACTAAAGTATTTTTAAAACCAGCTACTTTTACTTGAGTAGGTTTATTCTGGATGACTCTTACTTCTACTTGAGTAACATTTTTCATGTGGTATCTGTACTTTTACTCCACCACTAGTCACTAATAAGCTAAAACCAGCCAAAATCAGTGTAAGTTAGTTTACAAAAGTGACTTTTTGTCTTGCCTTATTTCACAGGAAGTGGCCTGACGCCTGCACAACTCCGAGGGAAATTGCAAGCGCCATGATGCTGAGCAAGGTTAACATTTACAGAATAGGAATGCATTGTACTGTATAAAAGTAAGTAGTTATAAAGATTGTTTGACCGTACTTTTGTTTTTACAGACTGTGGTCAGCTTATAACAAGGTGCTCACATCCTTTCTGGTCTCCGGATTTACATGGTGTGGATCATGATGCCATTGTGTGTAAGTAGCAAACTTTTTACTGTGGTGATTTTTTGTTCTGTGGCTATGGCATTTATTTATAACCATAGGTGTCATTTACACTGTGGACGCTGGGGACTTGTCCCCACCACTTTTTGAAGGCATTTGTTGTTATGTGATGTTAAAGAAAAGCATGGACCAATAAATGAAAATGCTATAAGAAAAGTTTAGCTGCACAATAAGAAAACCTGCAATGCATTGTAAATATAGAAGAAACATCTGCGTTGTCCAAAAAAGTTACTTAAACTAAACAAAATAATAAGCTACTGCTTTACACTGAGAGCTGCATTATATTCTATTATATTTTTATTTATTTTCATTAATAATTTTTTCAAAATAGTAATAAAATATATTCTCTTGCTCTCATGAGCCCAATCTTATGCAATGCCACGTCTCGTGGGCAAAGTGTTTCGTCACACCCCTAATCTGAGCCCTTAAATGTCTCCACCACTTTTCAACACAAAGTGACGCCCTTGTTTATGACACACTAAAGTTTTCCAGCTGCTCGTGAGACCCACTGTGAGACAGTCAACCAGATGTTGCTGCTAGGGCGACAGCCTTTAAGACAGGGGTCGGCAAATAAGTCTGACATCGGGCCAATTCTTTTTCAAGCCGTTACATGGCGGCCAGAACATTGTTTCAGTCAAATTATTTCAAACCCTTGGACACTGTGGTGCACGTTTAGCGCACTCGGTAGAGAGCGGGACTCCTGTTGGAGGAGATCGATCCCAAAGTCCTTTTTCTCCCATGTTAAACAAATTGATCAGCCTATAAGGACATGCTCACAATAAAGCATGTGCTGCAGTGCGCGTGCGCGTCCCAGCGTTTGAGTCATAAACCTACGGACACTAATTTTCATTTCCCAGAGGAAATTCAGGGGAATCCAACCAAACGTTTATTGACGGCTTTTCAGAGGTGTGTCAAGTGAGCCAGAGACTCTTTCGAATGTCCTTCAGAACTTTTCAAAGTAAAAGCTCTCACAGAAGTCAACATGAAGTATGTAAGTAACGTTCTTGCGCTTTTATTTTGGAGGCACAATCACAAGAGGAAGTGTGAGTAACTGCTGCTGTATGACTGAGATCTATCTATTTATTCATTATTTATTTTTCCTCTATCAAAGCGATTGTTTTGCAGTGAGAGGCGCCTCTTTTAAATTGTAAATTGCGCTGTTTATGCGCCCTGGGCGCCTCGGGTTTTAGAGCGCTCTGAGCGCACGGAGTTGAAAAGAAATTCAACCCTGGGCTGAACATTTCCCAACCTTATTCGCTTTTTCTTCCATTGTCCAATCTAATGAATGGAGAAACGGGTCCTCAGTTGTGCTGACGGAAGTTTACAGTTGCTTGGATTGTCCGGAGACTGCAACAGTCTCTCCCATCATTAAGACGAAGCGCCTGGACCAGCTGGTGGTGCTACACTACCAGCTACTACCAGCGGTGTCTCCTCTTTGTGAGGGTCTCAGGTGCCCACATGGATCTACATTTCCCTTTCTCCTGCGTGTTTGTGCACCTCACGCACTCAAAACAGTGCCAGAGCAGGCGCTCTGCGTTTGGCTGATGTTTTTTTTAGCAACAAAAGACACAGACCTGTGAGTTTCTGCTAATATGACCGTTATTACTTAGCGGCAAACCAAAGATTACAGATCGCTGGCTTTGATTAGGCTGACAGGACAGCTGACTCGGTGGTTGCCTAGCAACATTAAAAAACTGCAGCCTTTGCTCTTTGATTCTTCTTTGGCGTGAACGGTTTGCATCACCGACACCTGCTGCAAAATATTTACACCCAAAGTGATTCCATTCACAACTATAGTCCAGCTAGTTATTTTTTTTCTATTTTTGTGTCTATAGTAGCATTTTTGTGACCCCCATGGGACCAGGTCAGGGGGGTCCCGGCCCCCAGATTAAGAACCACTGATCTAAAGATATAGTTACTCTGGATGGCATCGCCCTGCCCTCCAGCACCACTGTGAGCAGTCTTGGAGTTATCCTTGATCAGGACCTGTCCTTTTACTCTCACATCAAGGACTGTCCTTTTTTTTACATAGGTAACATTGATAAAGGCTGGATTACTGCAATTCCTTATTATCAGGCTGCTTGAAAAAGTCTATTAAGCCTCTTCAGCTGATCCAGAATGCTGCAGCACGCGTTATGTGACCGGAGCCAAGAAAAGAGATCATATTTCTCCTGTTTTAGCTTCTCTGCTCTGGCTTCCTTTAAAATCCACAATAGAATTTAAAATCATTCTTCTCACCTACAAAGCTCTTAAAGGTTCAGTGTGTAATATTTCTGAGGATCTATTGACAGAAATGCAATATAAGATCCATAACTATGTTTTCAGTGGTGTATAAAGACCTTACATAATGAACCATTATGTTTTTATTACCTTAGAATGAGACATTTTATCTCCATAACCGCGGGCACCTCCTTCCATGGTTGTCGCCACGTTGCATCATCATGTTTCTAAAGTAACAGACAAACAGCACTACAGAGCGCATTTCATCACTACGTTCTTCTTGTTCAGGCAGTGCAGACACCCATCACTATGTTCAATACATACGTTAGAAGAAGAAGTAGTACTAATATACTGCAGGGGTCGGCAAATAAACTTTGCATTGATATTTTCAACCATCAGATGGTGGATGAGAATATGAGCCATAATATGACTTGTATCAACATGTTGTTTGGTTAGTTCAGTTGGTTCCCCCTACCCCTCCATCTCTCTCTCCCCTTCACCCCCAACAGGTGGAGGCAGATGGCCGGCCACCCTGAGCCAGTTTCTGCCTCTTAAAGGTTAAGTGTGTCAGTCAGTGACATCTAGTGGTGAAGGTTGCAAATTGCAAAACAACTCCTCACTCAGCCTCTTGAAGGTTACCTGTGTAAGTTTCAGTGACATGCAGTCATGTTTGCTGTCTCACTTAATTATTCAGTAAAACCATCTGATTTTGTGAATAGTATTGTTGTATTGTCAACATCAATAAATGAAGTGCTACATGATGTGGCATAACTGCATTTAGCATACTGCTGCTGTATTTTATTCATCTATTGAATTTACAATATTTACAAAATTTTAATAAAGTGTGGACTGAATTACTTGAAGTTACGTCCGGGAACAAACTTCACAAACCACAACAATTAAATGTTTTATTCATTTCAAGGAAAACGCACCTCTAAACAATTTTAAAAAACCACAAAATGCAAAAATGTTTCATTTTGTTTCATGAAAACACATCAGTGCAGTAGAACATCTGTTCAACGATAACTAAATATTAATTTGACATGTCTTTGATTGAGCCTGTCAGCATTTTAAATAATTTTACAGCACAGTATGATGTCCAGGCTTAGCTCTGTGGAATGTAAATTGTGAGGCTGTCTTGTGCTGGTGGTAGTACAGGGTCTCAGTATCTTTGGACTGTTGTTCTGGGTAGATGTACCACATGACAACACCTGAGGGATTGATGGAGAGAGTAAACTCTGTGTTGGCATTCAACCCAGTCACTGTCGAGCCAGTAAACACATCGTAGGCCTAAAAGCAAGAGAAGAGCAGAGTTAAGGCTGATAAAGACAAGGCAACTTACATTTGATGACTTGAGCCATATTGAACCAAATCATGTGTTTAAAAACCCTTAATTCTATACTGCTGTGTGTAAATGTGATTAATCGAATGGCAGTAGTGTGTAATCTGATAAAACTGTTACATTCGGAATTGGGTCAGGCTAACGTCTTTTAAAAGTTATATTGTTTTCGTATTTATAAAAATTGACTGCTTCATTATTTATTCATTGCCCCTTTGGGACAACACAGCTTTTCTCTACTCAAGACAACCTGTAACTGCTAACTATGCGTATCGGCAACATAAAGTGCTCTGATTGAGCTGTTCTTACTTGTAACTTCTTTTCTAAAGTTGATTAGAGTAAATCTCGTCATCATCAGTGAGCCAATGAGCATGCAGCACGCTTATACCAAGATCTACAAATGTTGGTGATTGGCTGTCTAACGTTACACGTCATAGAAAACTACGTTATGCCCAGAGACGGGCTCACTTTTATTTTATCTGGACAGATTATTTAAATTTCTTTTGTGGACTATGGAGGACTGTTCCTGACAGATTACGAAATAAATACAGAAATAAATAAATGCTCAATAAATAAATAAACATCTGATTAAATTATACAATGAGACATAAATGCATATATCTCTTTTAATTACCTTCTTTATTTATTCACTTTTGTATTAATTACCTTCTTTATTTATTGTCTGTCATAATCTTCAACTTTATTTATTAATTACTTCTTTTTTAAATATATTTATTTATGTGTGTGTGTTTTAATATTTTTCTCTTTTTTATTCTTCTTTTGCATTCTCTACCCTATTTATTTCCCCAATGGTATTTATTTCTGCTCTTTTTACATATCTCTATGCATTTCTGCCTCATTATGCAAACGAGGACGGGCTGCGTCTCAAGGGGTCAACTTCTCCCCTATTGGTGGACCAGTCAAACGGCAGAGGTAATCTCTTACCTGCACACATCAACACGCTCGCTCCTCACACAGTCAGATGGCTTCCTTCAGTGATATGAGGTGTTTAGCAACTCTGTTTGAAAACAATACTACCAGCCATGTCTTCTTTCCTTTTCGTGTGGACGCTCTGACAGACAGTTTGATGCATTCACGGACACAGAACTGCGGTAAAGGGAGCCGTTGTTTGTGAGAAGCACACGGTCAGCTAGCAGCAGCTAAATTTGGAGTGCACGTGTATTCGACCTATTATGGTAAATTCAGTTTTAACGGAGCAGAGCGAACTAACGGGCGGCGTTAGAGACTTTGTAAAGACAGAAACTGATGATAAAGACAAGTGTTGCAGTCTGAGAGTCTTATCTGAAAAGAGGCCATCAAATCTCAATTGCACGCGATACGACACCACATACAACATAATTTATCAAATAACGTCACACTTTGTGAAATTAGCACGAATTAGCACATTTCTTCTACTTCATTGCATAACTTAGAATAACAAGTTCAGAAACGGGTCTATTCTTAGTTCATCCTGCCTTGCAGCAGCCAATAAAGGTTAGCTGACCGTGTGGTTCAAGTAACGGCTCACCTGCCCGCAGTTCTGTTTCCATGTATGTCGCTAAATGAAAACTCAGAGCGTCCACGCGAAAAGGAAGGAAGGCATGGCAGGTAGTATTGTATTCAAACAGAGTTGCTAAACACCTCAGTGCACTGAAGGAAGCCGTCTGACTGTGTCAAGAGAAAGCTTGTGCGCAGGTAGAGTCTGCCGTCTGACTGGTCCACCAATAGGCGAGAAGTTTACCCTTTGAAACACCGCCCTCATTTGCATAATGAGGCATAAAAAAAGAGCAGACAGAAATAAATACCATTGGGGAAATAAATAGGGTAAAAAATGCAAAAGAAGAATAAAACAGGCAAAAATATTAAAACACACATAAATAAATACATTTAAAAAGGAAGTAATTAATAAATAAAGTTGAAGGTTATAATGGACAATAAATAAATGAGGTAATTACATTCTACAAATGTATTGTATACATTCTACAATACATTTAAGTCTCACTGTATAATTTAATTACTGCCTACATTTATTGATTTACTTAATTTTTTGTGCATTTAATAGGATGCTTAATTATTTATTTATTGAGCATTTATTTATTTCTGAAATTGTCAGGATAAGTCCTTGATAGCGGACAAACTAATCCATTAATCATCTAATCATTTTGATACAAAGGAATACACAGGTTCAGACACAGAGGGCGTACAAACCTCATAGTTGCCAGCTTCATAGTTGAGTTTAGCCAGAGAGGTGTGGTAGAGGTAGGGCATGTCTGTCCTTCGACTCAGGAACACAAGGGTGCTGGCTGAATGAGACAGAGGCCTCCAGTAAACCTCAATATGACTCTTCTCCTGTGCAACAAGCATAAACTAAGCATTAGTTGTGAAGTAATTGTGTACATTATTTTGGAACCTTGTTTGTTCATTGTAAAAAACTGATGTCTCAGTAATGATGATGACCTGCAACAGCCGTCTTCCCTGGATACCCATGGGGTCCTGGTTGATGGCAATGGCAACTCTGTTTTGCAGGATGGCCCTTGCACTGTTGTCTAGGTTTCGAAGGTCATTTGACATGATGAGAGGTGCGGCCATTATAGCCCACAGGGCCATCTGAGAGCGAGCCTGCTCCACACTGAGACCAAAGTTTCCAATGATGAGCTGAAGAGAGATATCAGAGGGATTTGAGGCATGATGATCCATCAAAGAAATGGGACATATGCAATTATTAAAGCTGAGGAAGAGTGGGAGGCTCCTCAATGTTACTGCTGCACATCACCCAAAAGGGCTGAATGATGCTGAAAAAATATCTAATCAGGATTATTTTGACTTATATTGCACTTGCGATATGGTTTGCGAAATCGCAATTGCTCCAGAAACATGTCCACATTTAATATTTTGTTCTTTCCGTGATGATTTGAGCTGGCTGTACCGATGTTTTTTAACCCGACTGTGCACAGCTACTAATTATAAGACTATGTGGAGAACCAAATTTCTCTTCCGATACATCTGATGCTGGCAGTGTCACTTTCTGTCCCGACCCGAAGTCTGCCAACCAGTGAGTTGTAGATTGGGATTTTTAGTCATTCTCAAAGTATTTAAACATATTTGCATCAAGAAGTTTTGGTCTGGACTAATGGATAGATCCGTCTCCCACTTTAGGAACGGGAGAGAGATTGAACCATCCGTTTTCAACATTAACAGTTTTATAGTTTTAGGTGCGAGAGTTTAAGAAAGTAGTGGATCTAAGTCCATTTTGTGATGCTTAAATCTCTCCTTAATTATGAATTTAAGCTGTTGATATTTAAGAAATTTGTTTTTGCTAATTCCATATTGTGCCACTAGATCCTGGAATGGAATAAAGTTACTGCCCTTGATGACATGCTGTAGATGTTTTATCCCTTTATCGTGACACTATGGGGAATTTAGCTTTCTCTTATTTTGGAGGATGTCAGGATTGTTTGATTGCCAGGGAAGAGCTTATGTTTATGTTAATGCTTTTAAAGCATGTATGACGTTTGATATTGGAGCTGACAAATGACATATTGTAAATCTGAATTTCCTTCCAGAAAGTATGTCCATCTGGTCCTGTGGGGTCTGATTGATCCATTTTGAGAAACATTGAAATCTACTGGCCAGGAAATAATGAAACAAAAATTGGTAGTTATAAACCAGCACAATCTTTTGTTTTTTGCAGAGTTTTTAAACTGATTTGCGGTGGTTTATATTTCCATAAAAATTTAGAGATGTTTGAGTCCAGTGACTTAAATCCGACAGCAGAGGGTTGGGTGGGTATCACTGAAAGGTAATTGATTTTGGGCAGGAGCATCATTTTTATGGTGGCGACTCTTCCCATGAGTGATTTGGGCTTCGTCTCCCATCACATGAGGTCATCTTCTATTGATTTAAGTAGAGGGGTGTAATTTAGCCATGTCAGTTCTGACAGCCTGGAGGAAATATTGACACTTAATATTCCCTGACTGTAGCGGCGTGGTAGATATTTGGGATGTGGAAAGTAATTGATTTTTAGATGCATCGTAATGTGGACTTGGAAGATTATGAATCAATTCACAAATGTCAATAATCGATTATCTAGAGGTTAATTGATGACATAATGTTGATGGAACGAAGTGCAGCTCTGGACCGTTTATACGGTGCACACAATGGAGACGTGTGGTTCTCCCTGTCCGGCACAGACAGACAGCTGTTGAATGAGTGACTGCTGCTACTAAGCTATCACATGAACAATAAAATCAATGCGCAACTAACGTTAATGATTTTAACCCGCACACTGTGCCGCTCGGTAGCGCTTAGCTAGCGTCCTCTCCTCCTCCTTCTTCAAATGACAGCATCGTGACAGGTGGCAGTAGGATGACGGTGAAAGCAGCAGAGGAAAAGATGAGCCTGACAGCTGAGCAGGCTGCCAGTTCTATTTCATTTGTTGTCATTTATCCACACAATGAACCAAATGCCGTTTCTCAAGGCCCATGGTGCTCAATACAAGATCACAATAATCAACTTACAGGACACAAACATGCAACTAAAGTAGACGAGACAAAAAAAAGGAACAGATATATTAAGGTGGAGTGAACGTGGTTTGGCTGGAGCGTTGTAAAGCGCCTAGTTCAACCCATATCTGAATCTATACTAATAACAGCAGCATAAAAAATAAAAATAGCAGCAGCAGAGGTCAGTACTGTAATAATAGCTTTCCATTTATATGAGGTAACATTAAATAACTGCACTTCATTAATACCTACTTCTTTGGATTGTTGTTAAATACTTTGCTTTAAAAGTACTGAGTAGTCACACAGTGAGAAAAATACATATTTATGCTATTTGTTTTACAGTCGCATTGTAGCCTCATAATCGTAACGAGGTTACCCTTGAGGTGATGCATCGTGATGCATCAGGGAATCGAATCGAATCGTGAGACCAGTGAAGATGCACACACCTCGTAGATATAGAGTGGAAATCACACATTCCAGGTAAAACTATGGATTTACTCCAGTTAATGGGGTAGTGTTTTTCAATTTAGGAGGAAAAGTAATCATCAGCATAAAGGTTTATTTTGTGTTGAACATTATCAGTTTGATTTTCTTCAATATTTTTATGTTGTCTGATAGCAGCTGCTAATTGTTCGATAAAAATGATGAAAAGCGAGGCAGAGAGTGAGCAGCCCTGCCTGGTACCCCTCTGAAGACTGAAGCTTAGAGAAATGTGATAATTTGTCCTGACAGAAGCTCTTGGGGAAATGTATAATGTTTTAATCCAGTCTATGAAGGACTTCCCAAATCCAAATTTATGCAAATAAATAGAAATTTCCAATCTCTTCTATCAAATGCTTTCTCTGTAGTTTTCAGGTTGTGAATAGTGACGTAGTCTAGTACATTAAGTAGCCTGCATGTATTGTTGGTGGAGTGTCTTACAAGGAGTGACCTTCTTTAGTCTTCTGGCTAGTGCTTTGTAGATGATTTTAAGATCTGCGTTAATAAGTGATATTGGGCAATAACTGGATGGGAGTGTGGGATCTTTATCTGGTTTATGGAGCAGGCTGATATTGGCAGAGTTTATTGATAGGGGTAATATGCAACCCCCCTAATTTGTATTTCCATTCCATAAAATGTGGGTGCAAGCATTAAAACAGGTAAATCCAGAGCCCTGATCTGTTCCTCATCTAACCTTGGGAAGTCTATATTGTTCAGAAATACACTGATGCTAGAGCTAGATGGATTAAATTGTGATGTACAGTATGTAAGTTTTTATAAAAATCTCAAAAGTACAAGTATTATTTATTTATTCTGGGTTATGAGTCCTTTATGTAGGAAATAGTCATTTTATTATTTTTCTTTGTTCTATTGTAATTGTTGGCACGGAATCTGCTGGATTTATTGGCAAGTTCAAAGTTCTCCAAGCGTAGTCTTTGCAACTGGAATTGAGTCTTTTTATCAATAATTTTAATTCAAGTTTTAATTTTATCGTTCAACGTATGTTCCTGTGTGGAGGCAGCATTAGCGGCTTTTTTGTTTTTTGTTCAAGCCAGTGCTTGAAGTGGCCCAGAACGCACCGGTACACAACATCCCAAGCTGCCGGTCCTCTCCTCTGCCCTCTCCATATCAGGTTGTCTGGGCGCTACGTGACGCTCACCTGTTCCTGTTTTCGCATGCTAAACTCTGTCGGCAGAGAGAGACGAGGGAGGAGAGAAGCTCGGGTGCCTTTCAAGCAGTCGTGGTCAGAATTTAGCTTGTCAATGTCACTTTTCGTGAAACGACCAATCATAGCGTTAAATATTGACAGATACCGTAGGTGTCATTTACACTGGGGAGGCTGGGGACATGTCAGAATCATAATGTCGTCATCACTTTTTAAAAGCTAAAAATGTTCTGGAAAAACAGCAACAGAAATGTTGAATAACACAAGATGAAACAATGCACAATAAGAAAACATCCATTGCAATTGAAATATAGAAGAAACAAGTGCACTGCCCAAAAGCTGATTACTGTTTTATATTCGATTATATTTTGGATTGTCACCTGCCACCTTAATTTTGTTTTCCTTCATATGTATAAAGAAATTTCCACAAAAAATTAGTGCAGAAAATGTCTCCAGAATGCAGGAAATTAAGTTTTTAATGCTCAAAAGCTCCAAATCACGAGATCTATTTTACCTCTCCTGACTGCTTTGCTGCCGCCAACAGAACACACGGCGAGGTTCCTGGCAGGTCATTATTTTCCATAAATATTGCCCACTCCTTTTTGAAAAGAATTAATAAAATCTAGGTCTTTAAGTCGTGATGTATTAAGTCTCCAATTTCTAGTTTGTGGTGTGACTTTTTTTAGTAAAAGTGATTGAAACTGGTGCGTGATCGCTGATAGTTAGGATTCTGATTGCCTCTATGTTTAGTTGTGTAATTTTTTAAGGTATAAGATCAGTAATGAAGATAAATCATACCATGTCTGGGTCATTCCATCGCCCAGGCCCCGCAGCTGGCTGCAGATCATCCTGGTTGTTGGAGAACCAGTTGATGATGTCTTGCACACTGTCCCATGAGTCCTGGATATCATAGTAATTCCTCCACAGGTGACAAATATCCCCCAGCAGCGTATAGTTCACCTGGTAGGAAGGCAATCCAGACTTCGTTGAGAGTCTTTAAAGCCATGCTGCTATGTGGCTAAAATCTTAAGTCATTTTGTCTGTAAATGAATTCTAAAATGTACTTTATCCAGTCTTGTTTCCCAATATTGGCACAGTTCTATTGAAGTCTCAGTGACCCAACAATTTGGTTTGACAGTGACGTAGTGGTGACACTCACATTAGGGGGGAGTCCTCCCACATAGACAGGCCAACTACAGGAGTAGGCTATAGGTCTGCCTGTAGCAATCAAAGCCTTGGACATCATATTGTAACCTGTGTGACACGAGAAAACACTTGCTATGGTTTATGCATGATCTCTTGTTGCCTCTTGTACTAAATCACTTTAGGTTTTTAATGACTTAATTTAATGTGATTGAATACGTTAGTAGACGTTCATACCCAGTAATTGTTCTACAGGATTTGAGTAACAGCCGTCAAACTTGAGATAGTCTATCCCCCAGCTAGCAAAAGTCTGGGCATCAATCTCGATTTTTTCCAGTGTGGTGCCAGGGAATCCCATACATGTGTAAGTGCCCATGTCTGCATAGATTCCCAGCTTCAGTCCACGGTCATGGATATACCTCGCCAGTTGTGCAATTCCCCCCGGGAACCTGGAGGAAGTACACATGGTTGCTTTACTAGGAGGTGTGCAAACTAACTTTGGCAAATTCTGTCTATTGGGCTTTTTTTGACGGCAAAATTGTACTTCAGGAGGTTATCAGAATCATTCAAATGAATAAAACTTAAAGTCTCTACTGTGGTGCTTTCAAGAAAAATGATTGCACAGTAATGAATGTTGATGAACACTGATGTGCTGAAACTGCAAAGTCAGGGAAGTAGACCAACCTGGAGGGTTCAGGCTGCAGCCTCCCTTGTTCATCTCTCAGCAAGGACATCCAGCAGTCGTCTATGATTACATACTCATACCCCAGCTCCTTCCAGCCGTCCTCAGCCAGCCGCTCAGCCATGCGTTTAAAGAGATCCTCGCTGTGGAAAGGATGGACAAAGGAAAGGGGGACAGCGTCTGTCAGTCATGCATGAAACACATTTGTAATTTATTTATTTATTATATTTATATATATATATTTTTTTAAAGGTACAAGGTAGGTTTATTTGTCGCATTACAACAGGTTGTAAAGGGATTCAGTCTGTAACTCCCTTCTGTATCATAATAGACAATATACAGTTTTACAGAGTAATCATAAAAATGGTAAACAGAAAGAAACTAAATTCACTGGAGCAGTGCTGAGGATGAATCTGAGTTTAAAGTCTGATAGCTTGGGGGGAAAAAGTTGCTGTGCAGTCTGGTGGTGCAGCTGCAGAAACTTCTATATCTTTTACCAGAATACAGTAGAGGGATCAGGCTGTGGCTGGGATGGATACCTGCTTTTTACACATTTCCCTGTTGCTTTTATGTTTTATGTAAAGCACTTTGAATTACCTTGTTGTTAAATTGTGCTATACAGATAAACTTGCCTTGCCTTGCTTTTAGTATCTTGGGGCTCTGCGTAGGCACCTCATCTCACTGATATCACTGATGCTCAGGAGATGGGTACCAATGATCTTCTGAGCAGTTTTAATCACCCGCTGCAGAGCCTTCAGGTTCTGAGCCGTGCACATCTCATGCCAGTTAGTGATGTTTCCAGTCAGGATGCTTTTTATTGCTCCTCTCTAAAAGCTGACAAGAACTTGGCAAAGGAATTTGACCTTCTTTAGCATTTTTTGAGCTTTCTTCACCAGCGTGGAGATGTGAGACGACCATGTCAGGTTCTCTGTGAAGCTAATTCCCAGGAACCTGAAACTGTTCACCTGCTCCACCTCAGCTCCACTGATGTAGACAAGAGTGTGGGTCTTCATCTCCTTTACTGAAAGCAACGATCAGCTCCTTGGTTCTGCTGACGAGCAGTAGGTTGTTCTCTGAGCACCACTTTGCAAGATTATCAATTTAATCCTGAGTTGAAGTCTCATTGTTGTTTGAAATCTGGCCGATGATCGTGGTGTCCTCCACAAACTTCACAACAGAGTTTTCTCTTCATGTCGGGGGATGCAGTCGTGGAAGAAGGTTAGCTCCATGGTATAATACTGAAACTTGCAAATTAAAGCAAATATCGCGGAAACTTGAGAGGAATTGGCGTTCCACCAAAGTGGAAAATTCTCGTTTAATTTGGCAAGATAGTCTCAAAACTTATAGGAAGGCCCTCCGTAATGCCAGAGCAGCGTACTATTCGTCATTAATAGAAGAAAATAGGAACAACCCCAGGTTTCTTTTCAGCACTGTAGCCAGGCTGACAGAGAGTCACAGCTCTATTGAGCCAAGTATTCCCATAGCTCTCAGTAGTTACGACTTCATGAGCTTCTTTAATGATAAATTAATTATTAATTAATTATTATTAATGATTTCTAACTATTTATAGTTTTCAGTCACGTAACGTGCGCGGTGACCTGGAGGGCAAAACAACAGACCAAGATAGCAGCTCACTCGTAGAGACGTCACAAAAGCCGTTTAATTTTATTTGGATCACCTCTCAAATCAAGAAAAAGATTGATATGGACACAAACTGTAAGTGTTGGGCACTTGCGATCCATATACAGCACCCGCTGCCGTATTTCCGCCGTCAAAAACGCCAGGTCCCTGCCGGCGCTCGATTAGTGCAACCGAAAGCACAACAGCCATCCGCCATTTTGGCAACACAAAAGTAACAAATTCAAATTAACAGTGCGTCACTTGCTTCCTGGTTAGCGGGCAGTAGAAAATAATGCATTTTTTGCCCTCCAAGGGAGCGTTTTCCTTGGAATGTCACGTCACGTGAAAACTTTGAATTAGAAACAAAATTCACCAAGACCTGCCCTCAACTGGCACCGAATTATCTCTTAACTCAGGAACCTTAGAAACAGCTGTAGAACCAGATATATGTTTAGACTGTTTTGCTTCCCTCAATCTTTACCAACTAACTTCAATAATTTCTTCATCTAAACCATCAACCTGCCTCTTAGACTCCATCCCGACTAAGCTGCTTAAAGACGTTTTACCCTTAGTCAGCACTTCTCTACCAGATATGATCAATCTATCTTTATCAACAGGCTATGTACCACAGTACTTTAAAGTAGCTGTAATTAATCCTCTTCTGAAAAAGCCAAAACTTGATCCAGATGTTTTAGCCAACTATAGACCTATATCTAACCTTCCATTTCTGTTGTCAAACAGCTGTGTGACTTTCTACATAGCAATAGTTTATTTGAGGATTTCAGTCAGGATTTAGAGCTCATCATAGCACAGAGACAGCACTGGTGAAAATATCATATTACCTTCTGATTGCATCAGACAAAGGACTTGTTAGATCTTAGAGCTGCATTCAACACCAACATAAAATTATGGAAAGAGCTGTGGCTGCCCAGCTTCAACACCATATGTTCCACCATAAACTGTTTGAATCCCTCCAATCTGATTTCAGAGTGCATCCCAGCACCGAAACTGCTCTCATCAAGATCACAAATGACCTTCTCATTCCCTCGTACAGAATCTCATCAGTCTCTTCATCCTCCTTGACATCTCTGTAGCCTTTGACACTATCTCGGACACTCCTTCTTAACTGCCTCTCTGAACTTATTTGCCTTACTGCCACTGTGCGCTCCTGGTTCCAGTCCTATCTCTGCAACAGAAAACAATATATCATTTTCAAAGACTTCAGCTCCAGATCTGGTGCCTGTTAATCATGGTATGCCCCAGGGATCTGTGCTTGGTCCCTTTCTTTTCAATATCTACAGGGCAGGATTATCCATCACTAAGGACTTAATTTCCACTGCTATGCTGATGACAACCAGTTGTACATCAGCACCAAACCCTCAACACAGCTCCCACTCTTTCCACTTGTCAACTGCCTGCAAGACATTAAGACTTGGACAACTGCTAACTTTCTCAAACTCAACAACAATAAAACTGAACTCATGGTGTTGGCTCCATCTCTGCATCCCCTTAAGTTCGCAACCTGGGAGTCATCCTGAACCCCACCATTTCATTCCATTCTCTTATCAAAAACATCACCAATTTTGCCTTCCACCATCTGAAAAACATTTCCAGGCTCAGGCCTTCACTCACTGACTCTGTGGCTGAGACCCTCGTCGGGTGTACCCAAACACAAGAAAAGCAATCTAGTGTATGCTGTCCAATGCAGTGAGGAATGCACAGACCTGTATATTGGGGAGACTAAACAACCACGACACAAACGCATGGCTCAACACAGAAGGGCCAACTCCTCAGGTCAAGACTCTGCAGTCTACTTACATCTGAAGGACAGAGGACACTCGTTTGAGGACCACCAGGTGCACATTTTAGACAGAGAAGATGGATGGTTTGAAAGAGGTGTCAAGGAAGCATCTACACCCGGGTCGAGAAGCCGTCATTGAACAGGGGAGGGGGTCTAAGCCACCACTTATCCCCCACTTACAATGCTGTTCTTTTAATCACTTCCCACTGAACAAACGTAACCTATTGGCCTCAGGTGAAGATACCAACGATGGTCGTTCAGTCTTGGCCTCAGGTAGTCCTAACGACTGTAACCTTCGTTGGATTCAAGGACAATAGTTTTGAGGAACTTTTAGAGTGGAAAATTCCAACAGTCTATTTAGGACCATGGGTGATTTAAAATGACTGTGTAACCACAAAACATGTTAACCTTTTTAAAAAATGTAATCTTATTTGCTTAAGTTTTAATGTGTCAAATTATGCATGTGTGTCTTTTAAAAATACAATTTGACCTTCTGGAGGTTTTAATGGTGAATTTATAGTTAACTTTAATAAGACAAAAAGTACAATTATTAATAAAGCATGAGAAAATCATGCCACTAGATGGCAGCAGAGGAGGAGAAATTCACCATCAGAAAGAGCCAAAAAGGGTGCGGTCAGTAAACATAGAAGGAGGAGAGTGCGTAAAAATCCCGCCTAAATGGGAGGAAACTGACGATTATAAAAGGTGGTGTTTGCTAACTGCGCACTTAGTTCATCCTAATGCCTGCTAGGATGTAACCCGGGTTTTGTCTTAGTGTATCTTTCACTGTAGGCTCAGCAATGGATGATAACAAAACGGTTAGTGAGCTAGAGTGAATATTATAATGACATTGTTGCCACACTTTATAACAGTTCGACCGCAGTAACATTACTGTAGTGAATGACCCTCCCACTGTGTTGTTGTCCTGTACCATTATGTTGCATTATTGTATATTATGTGGGTCACGTAGATTACAGTGACTGAGATGGTGAAGAAGCTGTGTACCTGAGTATCAGTAAAACCACAATTAATCTAAATTCAATGTTATGAAGCAAACAGTACTAAATCCATGCTAACTATAGCTATCTGCTCCTGCCTTGCACTTTAGGCTAGTACAAATAAATTACTTTGTACTGTTATATGATTTCTTGCAGGCTAAAATCAGCACTTTGATATAAGGTACACGGTATGTAATAGTAATAAGAATTGCATTAGCTGGTGAAGTGATATGGAAAGCCATTACATTACAACTATAGTATTTTGGACTGGATAATTAGTAACAAGTTGCCATTAGCCAGCGAGCTAACAATCAGCCTTTCTGATGTTGACTGTGTTTTCAAGAGACATCAGCTGATTCTTCTTTGGCCAGAAGTGCTTCAGCACATTAAACTATATGTTGTTTTTTATGCTTACATAGAGTTTGTGTTGGAGTTTATGTTGGAGTCTGAACTGGGAGACGGTCGTTTTACGGTGTTAGTCATAACATTTCGTTAGCTGCAGTATTGTTGCAGTTGTTGCCCATTGACAAAAAGGCAGTGAAAAAGTGATTTATCACGGTGAATGTTTACACGGTGTGTTCAATGAAAACAAAAAAACATATATATATAATTGTTTGTGTGGTTTTAGTTTAAGCAGACTGTGTTTGTTTATTGTTGTGACTTAAATGAAGATCAGATAAGATTTCATGACATATTTATGCAGAAATCTAGGTAATTCCAAAGGGTTCACATACTTTTTCCTGTGACTATATTTCAAAACTTTGATTCTTTTCAGTCACAGCACAAGTTTTGACACAAAGTACAAATCATTGTTTCAGCCCTTCTCTGCAGCAAAACATCAACAGCCCTATCACGGCTCAGGTTTTTACAGGGAACAGAACTACCTCACTGTGTGGTTTTCTACCCAGAAAGGTCTCCTCTTTTTCCTCTGACCATATTCTCTTTGTCATCTCAGTCCCTTATCTTGTTGTAGTGATTGCGCTCTCAGTGTCTCTGATCAGAATATGCAGAGTAAGCTAAATCAGAGAAAATCCCCAATTGATCATACCTGATGCAATTTTCTGGGTCATCTTTACAGTCAATATCACAGCGAAAGCGTTCCCAGGCCATCCATCCCATAGGAGGAGTCTTCAGCAATCCGTTGTCTAGGGCTGCAGTCAGTGAGATCAGGGCTAGGAGTGCAGTTACTGCCAAGGACTCCATGTCTAAGGAAGAAATGTGCACATTAAAGATGCACTTAACATTTACTCAAGTACATAAGCATACATACAGAATTGTATTCTTGCCAAGGTGGCAAAGATTTACATTTTTGGATAAATACCTTATATTTTATAGTTTCTTCAGACTGTGTGCTGGGCTGGATTATAAAATGGCCATTATGGGCACGGGCCCAGGGGCCATGTATAATTCATAAAAAGCCCGCTGATATTTTGCCTAGTCGGCCTAGTTCAAAATGAGTGAGATAAGTGGTTGTAATAAACATAAAAATGAACAGAGAAAGGAGGAAACGGAGGCAGCTTTATTTATTACTTTTTTTATTTGTGCTATCAGTTCAAACGCCAAGCATGAAACATGTGTGGACCCTTGGCGTGAACTAATCCTAACAATTAGTTCGAAAAAGTGCATCCTGTCATCCTGTCCATCCACTTGAATGGGAAAAAATGCCTGGAAAACCGTGAATATCTTGAAAAGTAAGAAAGTTATCAAAAATCTGAATAATAGCAATAATGTCCTAATTGAGATGAATATTTTAATCTTTGAATGACGTTTGTACGTTGAAAAATGTGGAACGAGTTACTTTGCAAAAAACGAGCGGATGAATCACGTAAAGCCATAGCCACCTGCTGGCAACAGGAAATTACACGTTTTACACTATGATTGGTTCAAGCAGGTTGGCCCTATCAACTTCAAAACTGTCCCAGAATACCCTAACACATTGATGAAGCCATGTTGTAAAACTTTGCTTCATTTCCTTTCCTTTATCTAATGCTTAAGAAATTAAGAACTGTATAATTGTTTAGGGCATTTAAAGAAAAGTGTTGATATTATGGAAAGACGTGATTAAAACACACGCAAAGAGACTTTAAGACATTACTTTAGATTAAAGGTTAAACCTCGAGGGACAAAAGGTGATTCCCACCGTGGTACACGCCCCTGAGAGTGAAAACACACAGCGGCCGCTTCTCTTCTCCGCTCTTTTTAACTCGCAAGTTCCACATCCTGCTCCATAAAAGGTCCAGCCCGGAGTAGTCTACCTCCGTGACTTTCAGATTTTCTTTCATTTTCCACTACTCCCAACGACAAACGGAGTTTGGAGGTTAGTCAACGAGTCGGTTACACCACCAGTAACAGTGAGGACATCAATCAACAAACCGAGTCAGACCATCTGTTATGTGGTTTATAATGGACTGTGGTGCAGAAACAGTGACAATGTCACACACTCTTGGCTTACATTTTCCCCTTATCTGTCAGCGGCCAAGGTCATACTTTGCACTAGATGTGATAGTTTTTGAGAAGTTCTCCATTTACTTTGTTATGTTAGTCCAGCTGAGCCAACCCTCCCAAGATTTAACAAAATGTATGATTACAGTACAATAAAATGATGTATTACAGGTGTGACATCATGTAGCACTTGATAAACCAGTAACAATAATATTCGCAATAAGATTTGGTTTTACTGAAAAGGTAAATAAAACTATATATTATACATAATAAAAAATATCTACCTTATTTCTTGCTGTCTCAGATATCGACATCTTTTGTCCTGTGTTGGCCACCGTAGCTATCCTACAATGGAGGACTGATCCTGACAGATTAAGAAATAAATATAGTAATAAATAAATGCTCATTAAATAAATAAGCATCCGATTAAAATGCACAAAAAAATAAAGTAAGTAAATAAATATAGGCAGTAATTAAATAAAGTAAATAATTAATTGCTTAATTTTTTGTACATTTAATAGGATGCTTATTTATTTATTGAGCATTTATTTATTTACTGTATTTCTTAATCTGTCAGGATCATTCTTCCATAATACTACAAGCTTTGAAAGGGGCGGGGGGGACGGTAGACCAAACCTTTGGCTGCAATTTGCAATTTCATTGCTAGATGCCACTAAAACCTGCACACTGAACCTTTGACTTACAAAATGTGAACTGTGAACTCATCTCATCTAGTTTGTAACTACTTCTGAATTTACAGCATAGTTCTAAAATGGTTCCAAATGAGATAAGAACCGTTTATATAATTAAGTTGAGATTAATGTGAGCTTTCAAAGTGTTAGATCCCTGCTCTGCAAATACAACAAAAGAAATTAAATGACTTTATTAGCGATTCTTTAATGAGAAGACACCCCCCTCCCCCACCAAACGTATGTTTGCATATTAATTATGTCTTGATCATGGAAAAGCTCTGAGCCAAAGAACACTGGAACAGCCTAAAGCCTTGAACATAGTCTGGAGGGTATAAACACATGAGGATCTGCTGTAATAACATGTCCTACCTGTTCACCTGAAGCTTCAGCTTGCACACAGCTGATCGAAACTATCAAGGGCAGTGTTGTTTTTGAAGGAACATGACTGCCTTTTTTTCTTCCTGGATTTCCCCTGAGCTGCAACGTCTATCTCTTCCTGGTAAGGTGAACTGAGCCATGTGACTGCTCTGTGTCACATGATAAAACAGGAAGTAGGCTGAAGAGGCAGAAAACCACTCTCTGGGAAGAAGGGTCCAGCTGCATAAACGTGAAGAAAGTTCAACTTCCAATTGTTCACATTATACAATGTATAAAAAACTGCATTTTGATGTTCATAAATATAAACATTTATTTAGAAATATATTTCTACATTTATATTTGTTATGCATTTTATATGTATAACATTTGTATTATTTAAATGTACTTATTTCCAAATTTTTGTCTTTTCGTTCACATAAAGTCAGAAAACAACAATATTCGAATCAAATTCACATGTATTTATACATCAGCTGTGATCTCAAACAGGGAATAAGTCTTGAAGGTACTTAAAGGCTGCCGACTGCTTATCTAGAGCTCTGACAAATAGTTTCATAAGGCCAAATTTGATTTGCAGCCTTCAGCCCAGGCGTTTTATCGGTAGCCTTTCTGGCTGCCTGATCCGTTCTACACATGCGCATACTTATTCCCACTTTATAGAATATAATATTGAATGCACTTTCTTGTCCAACGGGATAAACCTGTGCCTGTGATCTGTACTCTACAGACTGGTGCATGTTTTTTGAAGCATGCTCTGATCATCACGAACTGACGGACATAGTCACTATATTAAGTTCTGTGAAGACTTCTAAGATAGTTAAGGTGTTTAGTAATAATAAGCCATGGCTCTCTAAGGATCTTTTAAACCAGAAAAGGGCTCCATTTTGAGGATTCAGGATTTCAGGTGTAAAGTTCTTACAGCAAAAACGCATTTTTAAGAATAAGGTCCGGCAAAGACTCTGTAAACATGGCAGATTGTGGCAAATTTGTTAATGATTTAAACATTCTCTGTGGAAAGTATGATCAGAATCAGCTTTATTTGCCAGGTATGTGTACACATAAGAGAGATTTTAACCCAGGATTGTACATTGCTCACAATGTGCTTACTTACAATACTATAATAATAATAATATCATTTCACATAAAATGTGAGTGAAAGTGATTTCTCTGTCATGCCAATTGAAAGTAGTTGGCTTTATCACCCACAGTGTCTCTGCTGTCTGTGAGACCTTCTGCCTGTACAGGTCCAATCAGTTGTGTTGAGTTTTGTCAAGCTCGCAGTAGAATAGTTTGCATAGGTTCTGCATTTATAATGCGATATAACTCAGCAAACACCTGCAGGCATACAAACACATACACAGAAATGTATGTAGATTAAAACAGAGTTTTCAACTTGGGTCTTTACAGAAAATATATAATGATTCAATTACTTGTTTTAAACAGGACCACTGGCTTTATGGCAAATAGAATACAGTTTTCAGAATCAGGTTTATTGGCAGGTACATTTTTACATCGAGGAATTTGCCTTAGTATAAGTTGGTGCTTCAAGTAGATGTGAAACATAAATAGTAATATAAATATATAACAAGTAAGGAGGGGTGGCACTGTGGTCCAGTGGACATGTGTGGCTCTGCGATGGACTGGCGACCTGTCCAGGGTGTACCCCGCCTTTCACCCAATGTCAGCTGGGATTGGCTCCAGCCCCCCCGCCCTGTACGCAGGATAAGCGGCAGACGATGGATGGATGAAGTTATAAAGTAATGAGTAGGAAAAAGATGCCTATTATTTTTTTGTAAAGTTAGTTTTATCATTGCAGAAATTCCACATTAACCCCCAAAAAAAAGAAAATGGGCGGACAGACATTAAGAATACAAAAGCTAACTAATTATGTGTTTCACAAATGTCTTATGTAAGGATGACACAGTATTTAGAATTTGCTTTGCTCTAGTAATTTTTTGTCTTCTTGTCTTTCATTTTTACTTTAATTTGTACACGTATCCCTGGCACTGACAGTTTTGTGTGCTGTTATGTGTTCTCTAAAATAAAATAAAATAAAATAAATTAGAGTTTACATTCTCTAGTAAGTACCACAGTGAGACATTTTTACCTCGGCATGCGGTTCCGCGCTCTTGTCCAGTCGGTGGCGGTAATGCACCTCCGAGCTGGTGCGCCAACTTCCAACAAACACTGAAGAAGAAGAAGACGAAGTGGTAAGGCGCCCATGGACGGCGCCCAGGAGCGACACAACCGCATACGGAACAAATAAACCAGGCTTTGCTGCCTCGGTTCATCCCTGTGGACCCGCGCACCTATGATGGAACGGGCGATGGAGCAGCTCAACGTACAGCTCAGCCGGCTGACCCGTTCCCTCCGCCGCGCCAGGACCGTGGAACTCCCGGAAGGTAACCTAACGATGCAGGACGTTCACGGCTAAAACAGAGCGAGCTGGCGGCGTAAACAATGGTGTTGTTCACGCTTGAAAATAGTCACGGCGATGGTCGCTGTCCGCGTCATAGGCAAGTCAGAATCTGCATGCTGATGTCACATGAATGAAAAAAGAGTGACCATAAAGACAAAAAAGAAAAGAACTGAATCTCAAAGAACGGCGTTCAAATCAAATTTAATAAAATTTAATGAACAGTATTTTTGGTTTCTCAGAATTGTACCCCAAGTCTTGGCAATCGAGGGGGGAAAATAACATTCTGACCAAAACGCATAATTTTTTTCCATGTTTTTATCCCCTACGTAATGTGTGCCATTCAAGGAGTTTAGGGCAACGGATATATATGTGAAAAATACTGTAAAACCTTTGCGAATAGAAAGCCAATACTTCATCAATACACTAGTTCGACAGGCATGAACATAAAACATAGTAAAAAGTTAAAGAGATGGTATTCTGCTTTTTGGCTTTTCCCCTCTCCTTTATTGAGTTATATATCTGTGTATATATGTGCATGTAACAGGTTTGCAAAGTGAAAAAGCCCAAAGGGAGTTCCCATCTCCCACAGAAAACTCTGCTTTAACTGAAAACAGCTGGTTTGGAGTCCAGCCGCTTCCCTTTCATCCCTGTGACGTCACAGGGATGAAAGCTAAACGCGCCTCACATAACGCTCGCCAAGCGGCGACTCCGACACGCCCTCAGAAACAGCGAGCTGCAGCACACAGCTCTCCTCTCCCTTCCAAACACTAGCTACCCTCCAGGCAGTCAGTGGACATAAAGTTGTTCCTGTGATGTAGAGACAGAGCTCAGTTAAAACTTTATGGATACAGATTAATAACTCACCGCTCTGAAACTCTCGCTCCAGTCCATGTTGCCAAGCCGGTCGGCAACACGTACGGCTGAACCCGAGCCGTTTACCGGCTTCTCGCTGACCCGCCCTTCTCTGCTTCTGATTGGCTAGTAGTCCTTAACTAGGAACTGAGCATGTGCAACTCCCAACAAAGATCATTTAGAGACAAGATGTATCACTCCATAGCTAAAACGAAGCCTTCAACACAGGCTGAAAAGAGGAGCTGCAGCAATGTGCAGTATGACAAAAATATAACCATGTAAACCTGTTCTGGTACAACCTCTAAATAGGATTTTGAACCTGAAAATGAGCAGAATGCCACCTCTTTAAATTTTATTCTGCTCTGTTGCAGTCTCTCATCCACCAGGCACAGCGCGCTAGCTCAGCTAAAAACAATTTATTCCCAACAAGCTAAACAACAGCTGCCTGTCTGTTTAGCTTAGTTTGCCACGTACCTTAAAATTTGGCACAATCTTGTTAAAGTATCTGCTGGCTGAGACAAAGCAGCCCCCAAAGCAGGAGGACAGGAGGAAGGATTGATGATGACTGAGTTTTCTTTCTAAACATCACTCAGTATGTTGATGTATTTAAATCAGATATTTTAGCTTTTATGGGGTCTGATTTTACATAAAACTGCCGGTTTTCTCACAGTTAGTTTATATACAGCCTATTAATAATGCTCTAAATAAAAATCTGAAAAGAAAAAACAATCAAAATATATTACTATAATAAATCTTTTTATTGTTTTATTGTGTGTGAATAAATTCAAAATGAAGCATAAGCACAATATCTGCCTAACTATGAATACAAAATCCCTGTGAAAAGTTTTAAGTGCAGGTTTTCTGTCTTTATTCACTGCAAGTCCAATTCTGCCGCACGTGTTTTTCAATCTGTAAATTTAAATTACAGAAGTACAGAGCAACTATGAAAAATTATTATAAACTTCATTATAGAAGGCACATAAAAATGCAAATTCACTGCCTTTACTGAATAGAGTTGAACATAAAAATTACTGTTTACGACCTAAATCTCATATGTAAATCACATTATATTCATAGCTGTTCAGTGACACAACACCGTGCTGCCTTTCTCCAGCTAGAGGTTGCTGGAGTTATGGGAGTTTTGAGTCTGAGTATTGACTTTTTGGGGTTGCTGTAACCAGTAAGTGTGGCGTGCTGAAGCAGATCAAGACCATGAAGTTAGTAGCTCATTTTTATTTCACACAGAGCACAAGAAACGCGTACCTGTAAGAACTTCCACACTATGTCATTCAGGATGTTAAGCATGTGAAGCAAAATGTTTATGTTAAGATTATATTATCACAATGCTAATGTCAATTTGCATGTTAATGGAGATTGTCATTATACGTTAGCATTGAGCTAACCACCATCAAAGCGCAGATTTGTTTTTATGTATTGTTATGATCCACAGTGTTGTGGAAAAAAGAATTGTGATATATTGTGTGCTTTCTCCTCTGCCGCCGTAGTGTGTGGTAGAGGAGAACACCAGCTGTGCCAGTGATGTGCCGAGTTGTGGGTGCACATTTGTCACCATTGATGAACCACACGGGGAATATTTTATTGTTTATCAGTACTTGGAGTAGACTGCAGTGAACCGCAAAGTGCATGCAAGTCTGGCCGGTACAGTGCAAGTTACAGTGACTAATGAAGAAAGACTGCAGCTCTGCAGCTTCTCAAGATTAAAGCGCCGCTACCGCGTGTAACCAGAGGTGTTCAGTTTACAATGACCTAATGTTTAGTGTTTTTGCTTGAAAAATTGCTGGTTTTATTAATAGATTTTCAAAGCAGTTGTCAACTTGTCAATAAATTTTCTTTCAACTTATTAATTAATGGTTTCAGCTG